CCTTACATCTTATGGCCTACTATGCAATGAGAAACATTACTCACAACCATTACACTACAGTGTCTGCAACTACATAGAATCTGATAGGTACAAGCCAAGTACAAATTGGATTTTTTTACATAATGGGCAAATAGACCTTTCCAAGCCTCAAGCGACCAACATTTGGCGGTAAGACGGGTAATACGGGCGTTTCACAATAGTGCGCCACCAAGAGTTTGCATTGCGTTAACCAATCACAATGCACGAAATCTGTCGACCCAATGCGCGGTTAGGAAGGGTCGACAAATTTCGCCCGTATTCACCCCTGGGAAATTTCGTGATGTTTGGATTCGCCAGTATTTTCCATATTTAAGAAGTGATCATAAATTGTAATCAGATCTTCTTAACCAAGTTTGTTTAATTTCTGGTTATTATTACTGATTCATTTTAACGTCGATTCTCATCACAAACTGAATTCCTACAAATTTTTTTCTAAAGATTGTCTTTGAGCATAAAGCCTGTATCAGGAAGAATATCCCATGACAAAGGACCCTCTATGAAACCATGGTAACGTTGCTTCAGTTTCATGTCCCATCACCACGATAGGTCTCTGTCACTGAAACATCAAACTCTGTAAAGTAACATTTTAGCGACAGAAATTTCAATCGTATTACACAAAAACAGAGTTTGAGTCTCATGAATTCGTTTAGAATATCAATGGCTGATCAACCGTAGGTAAATCCGTAATAGGATAACTGGGTCAAGGTTTGGAAATGGGAAGGTCATAGAGTATAACGAAGGGTGGATTTTTAAAAAATGGGGGTCGAATTTTAAGAGGGCCGAATATTTAAGATTTTCTATGTAACCTTTCATAGCGTTTATAAAGGGTGCGGGGGGCTTTTACACGCTTTTGGGTGGAAAGGCAATAGTCCCTCCAAATGGCCTTTCTCTCAAAAGGTTTTTTTTATTTTTTCAAAACTACACAAAATATGATTTCCCCTTCTGGGCATGGCCTCCGGTGCCTTCCACGATCTGGTTTTGACTGTAACCTGATTGCATATGTCTCAGCAGAACGATCGACTACGATAGTGATCTGGAATTTCCCCTACAAATTCAGCATAAACATGATATATGTCTCAATAACATGCCAGAATTTTCTGTTGCCTTTATCAGCAATTATTCTACGGAGGCCATAGTCATCCATGGTCAAAGTTACTTTCGAAAGTTAAAATGATTGTCACCCCCCGGGCCAAAAAACTGCTTGCTGTCAAGTTACTTTTTAAAGTTCAAATGATTGTATCCTTCATCGTGTGGACCGAGTGATTGGTATTCTAAATCAGACCGAATGTCTTGCTCACAAATACCGCTCTCTTGAGGTGCAGTCTGATGGCCGCTGAGTGGGGGTCCAAAGGGTCGAGCCAGCCTGGTATAACCTTCATCAGAGATCAATACATCTGGGTCATATTCTAACCCCGTTTCGTCATTAAAGGCGACAGGGGGACTGTCTACGTCCACATAGCCAGCATTGCTTGTTTTGGGTTTTGGCTTGTAGGGAGTAACTTTGGGAGGATGCTGATTGGTCAAATTTTCTTTGGACTGGTTTCCTGACTCACCATTCCCTGGATATTTGGTTGTGTCTGGCTGCTGACTCGCCTGAACAGTGTCTGGGTTGATATATCCATAGTCTGCGTCGTCTGGATTGGGACCATCTAGGGATGTAGCGAAAGTGGGGTTGCGATGGGCACCAGATGGCACTAAGTCATTGTCGTATCTATTCCTGTCATCTGTAAACACCGTGGAAAGCAGAAGGTGACCTGTCATATCATAAGGTTGACTATTCAAATAGTATTTTGGAGGTTGAGACAGCTGCTCCCTACCACCTTCTTGAAAATCGTTCTGCCGACGTTGACTGACAAGCATAACTCCATTTAAACATTTGACATCATTTGACATCTACCTGCTTGTTTTAGGGACATCATTTTCGATATTTTTGGTAATCTTGAATCGTCCTCAGAATATACCTTTGAAGTCGAGGGATAAATGCATGACTGAAATAGTCATTGTCAAATATTTAGAGGAAATGACCATGTGAAAGTGTAGGGTCACATCATCACATGATCGACTAATGTGTAATTTAATGTGTAACTTTTGATTTTTCAACTTTAAAATAAAACTTCCCTCCCTCATTTTAATTTGGCTCAGGATGAGAACAAATAGAGTGCCCAAAACACAAGACAAATACAATACTGTAACTCCTGTAAGAAGAGGACAAATTCTGAAAATTATAAACTTGTTGCTCGGACGTATACCCTCTGAAAACTCCTAAAACCACTGAACATCACATACTGATTGCTAAAATGATTTCTTGTTTCTCTGGACAGTTCGTTCATTAAGATACCTTTTGAAGATGCTGTCGACTTTGGGGCTCTGTAAAGAAAAAGAAACAACCAATTTATTAAAACAGAGTTTCGGATTTATATGAAGGAGTTCACTATGTGCGGTTACATTCAGAACAGAGAATCTTACATTACTGCTTTTGTCCACAATAAATTACTGCTTGAAGGAGAACAGTATTGCTCTAAATATAAGCAGCAGTACAAAATTACTCCTAGGCAAAAACAACTCCAGAAAGGGCAACGTGACCTATGAATTGGGTACCCTCGAGCTCCAATCATTTCGATACGTATTTCATAACAACCTGACAAAATTTTATTTTAATCTAATCAAACAAACTACCTATTACTGCGTTCAGAAAACAGCTTCTTTCCTCCTTTGCGATATGCAACTACCACAACAGCCACTGTGATGAGTAATATGACGAAGACGGTTATAGCAACGCCAACAATGACACCGGTATTGGCACCAGGTGCTGCGGGAGTTTCCAGACAAGTGGAATTGAGACTTGTGAAGGCGCCATCTTTGAATTGGTAGACCTCTTTACTAGTATTTGCACTGCTGCCATTACTGCACTTGCACAGGAAGGTTGAATTAAGAACCAGCCACTCATTGTAGGAAGAGTTGGCAAATCGCTCGGTTGCTAGAAAGCAAAGACGAAAATAGGGAAAGCGTTGGCAATTTTAACAGCTATATATTAACCTTCCAGTTATAGGGAGTCAGGGAAATTTTCAAATACACCACGTGACATCGATCTCTTGTACAATAAGTCTAGGAATTCTGAGAAGAACCGTTGAGTGGAAACTCGAGGTTTCGACAAGAATGCCCTGGTCATCAATTTCACACTCACCAGTTCTTTTTAGAACCACCATTCTATCTGGTTTATGCGAAAACTTCTCCCAGTCTGACTTCCACTATGCAAGATTTCAGTCTCACTTGTTATAGAATTAAAAACGGAAGGTATTTACCTATTAATGCAAGGCTCTTCAAACTGCAAAGTCCGCATATACACTTCACCTCCCTAGTATCACTGTGCAGTAATTCAGATGAAAAGAAATAATTTTTAAACCATCTGAAGAACCTACACTGAAAGTTGGAAGCATTCAGCTTAACACAAACACCACTTTACTGCATCTGTCTATCAAGGAAAACACAGCGATCTCCAGGCTTCCAAATCAAAAGTAATGCATCAGTCCAAACGCTGTAATGGAATTTTTAGAAACTGTTTTCATTTTATTTTTCAATTCACGTTATGTTAAGCTTGTATCGCAAAGAATTTGTTTCTGCTTCATCAACGACCAAGATTATAATTTCTTGATGGAGATCCCAGCAATATTCATCCACTCTTACCTTGCTGTTGCACAACCACATCCCTGGATGCAGTCCTTCTTGCCACAAGGACAAAGGAAATACTCATCCCCATAATTGGGTACTTCTCGAATGCACAAGGAACCTGACTGAAGGATGTAATTCAGACTGGCAACAGGTGGTTGACACGTTTCTCCTAGACGTCAAATATAGAAATGCAAGTATTGAATTATTGCAACTGTCTGTATAAAGTAGACACTGTCATGTAAACATTGACAAATATTCCTCCTACCTAACACTTTGAATGTTCCGCCTGTTTCTGTCCTAACCTTTTACCTAATATTTCCCCCCTTTATATTTCATTAGAAGATCAAACATGGGTTATCAAAGGTCGACCGAAATTTACCAACCATCGATTGTCACATGCTACCTGTATATTAAAAATGGACGGTGACATATCTAACAAACTTTTTTTCACTGTCCCCAGTTTGTAACTTTTCTCGTTACTCCCTGGAGGAAGGAATAGATCTGACTATAAATATTTCCCTGCTTGTGATTGATTGTGTATAACTCTATCGGACAGCATATTTTGGTTTTGGAATACTGACGCGGTCACGCGTATCTTCGCATCGTAATAATTTTCCATATCACTTGATTAGAGATTACGTGTTCCAAACGTCGCGATGCATCACTTGGACTTAAGGCTGCAGAAACAACCGAAACACATGGTCCCTAATCTAAGAACAATGTGCGGCAAATAATGGATCTTTGCTACAGAAACGTTTGAAAGAGAAAGAATTTAAACATTGATGCATACCTTGGAGTTTTTGCATTTTCGGAGCCATCAGTTCCCTTTCGCAAACGTATGCATAGTTCATTCCACAATCAAAGTCATTCCACCGGAAATCATTATCTGGATACAGCCTGAAGCATCTACCAAGATGATTATGGCTATAGTCGTTGGGCACGAAAGCTTGATAGGTCGCCAGAACTCCATCCAACCACACGTACTGCGTCATTAAACCGATCCAGTATCTTCTAAACGAGTCAATTTTACCAAGTAGTTCCTCAATGAATTTCAGTTCGTCTTGGGTTTCAATATAGAGAAGGTGGCCGCCTGGTAGAAACTCGCATACCGACTTTGCTTCGTAGAAAGTCTTAGATATGATGTCAAAGAATAGGTAACAAGACTCGCCGAACGTTTTTGCTCTTGAGGCATCTTGGCAAACTCCATGGTATAAAAATAGATGAGTACAAGGTATTAGACATACATTCTCTGTAGGGATCCAGAAAATAAAAATAATTTAAAGGACTGGCGATATCATTAAAGCATATGCTTTCAAATTAGCAGAATAGATGCTGTGCACCTTACAAATTTTTAAACGAGTTATTTACGACATTGCTAGATCTGCTGCAATTCAAATTTTGATGGAATTTCAGGCTATTCATGGTGAAAGACAGCAATAGGTGGAAAGGCTTGCAGTAGCACCATGTGAAGGAATACATCTCTTATGAGTATGTTTGGTTCTGAAAAGAACCGGGAGTATACTCAACTTTTCGGAATGCGTGCCCAGTCCGTCGTCGGGAGACTGAAGAGATGCTGAAGATGGAGCTGTTTATCCTGAGCAAGCATGACATCAAGGTATTCCACACAGCCCCTCTCAAGATCCGCGGCATGCTGACATCCCACAAGGACCGACAAGATCCGCACCACCGACCAGGGGTGTACAAGATCCCCTGTCAATACAGCAAAGTGTATATTGGCTGGTAGGGACCCCCCCACCAGACTCAAAGAACACCAAGCCCATGGCTGGAAGTAAGAGTATGAGAAGTCAGCGATAGTCAAGCATTCCCACTCTGAAGACCACTGCATCAAATGGGACCAGGTGCACCTCATCACCAGCATCGAGCACTAGTAGCCAAGACGCATCAGAGAAGCCTTGGAGATCCTCAAGCACGACACCGTTTCCCAAAACATCGGCTTTTCCATCAGTGACATCTGGCAACCCCTGCCCACCTCCCAGTCCAACGGGTCCTGTATACCCCAGGACACCTCCGACCCAGCTATGGGTCTCATATGGCCTACCCCCGGCCACCTCACCCGCCCCAACCTATGCCCAACTGACACGCCTCACTGACCTACTGGACCCCGTCCCGCATGGACGCCCAGCAGAATCCACCACTAGCATCCTTGTCACACCCCACTGTATCCAGTCACCTTATATAAACCGCTCCATCTTCAGCATCTCTCCGGTCTCCTAACGATGGACTGAGCAGTCAGAAACGCAGTCAGAAACGATGAGTATAGTCCCGGTTCTTTTCAGAACCAAACATACTCAGGAGAGATACATTCATACGCATGGTGCTACTGCAAGCCTTTCCACCTAATTCAACTTTTGTTTCAAGCAGGAGATTAAATGACTCCACAAACAGCGACAACTGCATATGGTAGTTCCCCTCCCCTATTACGAACAAATATTTCCAAATCCGCCCCCCCCAACTTTTGGATCCGAGTTTGACCAACAAGCTATCCCTTTGACATGATACTTTGATAAAAAAGAGAGAAAGTTTATGCTTTCTAATATCTGCTTACATGACAAGAAAGTGCAACAAAATGCCACTTTTTATCCTAGTTATCTTACCATCAATTGTCAACAATGGAAATTCACAGATATATGCCATTGCTAATCCACAGTTCCCAGCGTAGAAGCGTGTACGTCTTCCAGTGACATAAATACAACCCGACGGAGCGTCATCCTCAAGTGTGAAAAGGTTGCGACGATATGGGCTACCATCCAGCCAGGTATAGTTTCTAGTTGCAATTAATCCAGTCCAATAATGATTGCCAGCTCTGTGAATATTACTGTCGGAGAAAAAAACTCCATAGAATGCTAAGAAAGCTTGCTCTGCCTCTGATTCAATGTAGACGAGATGGCCCTTACGAACAATGCAGTCCTTATGAGCAGCGTCACGTGACTTGAGATCCTCGTGGATGAATCTGTAACAGGATTCTCTGTACAGCTTTTCGCCTCTGTCACAACCTGGTTAAAATACAAAATTATAAAATCAGTTCAGTAGTTTCCGAAACAATGGCGCAGTTACTTCTGGAATCTTAAAAATTTCAGTGTCCTCTTTAACAAAAATAAATAATATTTTTGAAGAAGTTTCGAAATTACCAGCATGAATCTTAAGATCAGAATAAATCGAAATTTACAAATAATAATTTGATAATTTTCATCATTTGCCTTGCTCACCTGTTGGCTGATCAGCACATGTAAGCATTGTTTTGGGAGTTTCACAGGTACATGACATGCCATTTGTTGACCTGTGTGTTGATAATCGAGGAATATGAGAAAGTGTTTGGAAATTGTTTTATTTTGTACAAATTGTTCAGGGATTTTTTCATACATTTTTCATCAGCTGTAGAGCATTTACGACCCAAACAATGCAGATGGCAGAAAGAGCAAAATACAGCAGAAAGGTGACCCCATTTTGCTTTCTCTCCCTCTGAGAAAATTGAAAAGGGTGTCCTCGACATGCATAAACAAAAAATTAACACTGTTTTGGTTCACGTTTCCGATGAAAACACCCCATCTTATGAAACATCTGGACTTTATGTTTAAACACCATTGAGTTTAGACATTAGCTTGTTATCAGGTTTGGTTTTCAGCCTTCAAACGTGTTATATGCACGATAGTGTTTATCAATAAATCGATGTAATCAATGACGTTAACAACTTACCTTCGTTGTATGTGATGCTCTATACCTCTGATGCCTTGACACATCTGTGACAGGAAACAGAAAGCTAGAGTCAAGAAGACAGTGAATCTAGAAGTTCCCATGGGTGCCATACTGTGCTTATATCAAGCTTTGCAGCCTTGTACGATGCTTGTTTTTACTCGAACACACCTACATGCTACAACAGTTGTCTATAAGAATGATATAGAAACTGTTATTGGTTTACTTCCGTATTGAATCGTCATTGCTGGTTCTGTGTACCACCATTATTTGGAGGAAATGTCATGAAAACCCAGCGTACTTCCCTATAGGCCAATAATAAGACAATAACTAGATCTGCGTGTGCAGTGCACTCTGGGTGCTGCTATAGAAGAGCATGTTCCAACAATAGGCTCAACACAATTGCAAGAGCCCCCCCCCCAAAAAAAAAACCTCTTCAAAAGTGACTGGTCTGGAAGAAAGGCTGCTTGACACGTATTTTGAACCCAAATGTTTGTCAATGCAATTTATCCTGACTTGCAGTCAACACTGAAACCTAATTGATATACTCCTGGCAAAATGGTGATGCATTAATCTGCGTGGCAAAATCAAAACCACATGATCAGTAGAAACTAACTCGTGCTGGTTATCGTTACACTTTGTACCACAGTGCGCTTGCTAACCTATGCACCTTTTCGTGTCTTTTGTAGAACATTCAGAGATTTCTGTTTCGGTAAAAAAAATGGGGGAGTCCCTCTATTTTTGTCCTGGTTAATTTTTCTGGATCGAATTCCACCATTTGCAGGGCATGCATGTTGTATGTACAGTATATGGTTTGGATGTTTGAAGCATCAGTGTTACACTTAAATTCAAGACCTAACTTCAAATGCATATTTTGATGACTGCGAACGACAAAAATTAATTGTCAGAATAATCAACACAGTACTTGTGGTGATTGTAATTCTTGTTTTCTTGTCCCTTTATAGTCAGATATGCCTTTCATTTAGATCATGTAAGATTTTAATTTTAGCTGACTATGATTTTGAAAGCCGATGACCGTTTTTCAATACTCAACTTGGCATCCATCTCAGGTTCGTCTCAAAAATCAATTCCCCACTGTAACCCTGAAGCGTTAAATTAAATAGAACTACCGTATTTTTTGCTCTTTTGCATCTTATTTGATGTTCGTATGGCACTCTAAGACTTATTTTTGAGCTACCAGCTTCAAAAGTTGGTGGTTAAAAAAAGGCTTAACCTGAGACAGGAATGAAGTAGAGTACAGCGGCCTTATCGCAAACGTTATTTTGATAGAGGACGCTGTCGATATATTGATTCGCATAATTGATTTACTCGGCTGAGAGTAGCGAGCAGCTATGGAAGCTGCCGCTAGCAGTGTTATTCATTTCCAGTAGAAGCATGTTTCATTGTCAGCCATAGCCAGGCAATTCGGGCACAGCCGCCGTAGTCATAAAGGAAAAGAAATGCCCACCAAATCAGCAATATCCGGTTCGTCAAAAGGAACAGCGAGAGTACGAGATGAGATCATGTTCACACCAAACCATGAAGCTTGATATGTTTGACGAAGAGCTGTTATAAATGTAGAGTCACTAGCTCTTTCTCACGTCATTATAAAGGATTGCAAAGGACCCATTTGAAACGTGAAGACATCGTCAAGAGATTAAACATTGTTGATTAAACGTGACCCTTTGAATGGGGTCAACTGTTATAACGCAGAGAAACACGTTCAGCGTTCCGCTTATGTATGAATATTTCTTATTATGACTTCAAATATCTCTGCTGAAAGCTTTTTTAAAAACTGAAATGGTCCCTGATTCCTTGAGTCAGAAGAATCTGTAGCAAGTAGACAAGGAACAGACAATTTGGGAGGGGCTAGAGGGCCAAAGGGGCGGGAGAATTAACGACTTGCTCATTCATTCAGATAACACTATCTCACGAACATAGCCGCTGAACATGTACAATGTTCTCCAGCTAAGAGTTAATTGCTAAGGAAATTCATGTCAGAGAGACAGGGGAAGGGGAACCTTTCGTCGTATCGGTGAGTCATCACCCAATGAACTTACAACCCCATGGCTCTCCTCTTGTTGTACACTCACTACCGCGTAACGGGAACTAGAGAATTCCCAGTCGACTATTGGCTCCCTCTAAGCCATGCGACACAAGTTGTGCTTTAGCTCTGTGAAATACCTTCTGAACATGGCGGCAACTACAACATCACTTTCAAGCGCTCACATAAATCGGGACTGATAGCTGAAAGTAGGAAAGAGAACTGAATTATAACCACGATGGGAATTTATCGGGTTCGGACGTTATTGGTGCTGGCGGTCTCGTTGTGTGTGTTGTGGATGAATATTAACTCTGCTCACGGTCGACCGGAACAGAAGGGTGGAGTAGCTTTGAAGAAGGTGCTGAAGCCGTGCGTGTGAGTGTTCTCAATCAGATATCTTCATTCATTTCCAGTTATAATATAATATTACCTCTATCAATTCCTTTTCAGTTATTCAGTACATATTCTTTACCTCAGACACGTTCTGTGTTGAGCACCTCGTGTTGTCTCGATACATGTCACTGTATTTAGTTCTGATTTCGTAAGGTCAGCGACTCGTAATCGTCGGGGAAGGAGGGGCCAATAGCTGGGCTAGATCAGGATATTTGAAGTGAGGCAGTATATGTAGTTATGTATGTATTCCTCTGCTGGCATTAGTTCATTTTACACTTTTAAAGATCTCTAGCTACTCCGAGGTCATATCGAATAACGACCAAACAAGTGAGCAAATGTCACTGTACAAATTGCTTGCTTAAAACATGCCTTTTTGGTCACAATTTGTTTCAGTGTTGGTCAAATTCTAGGCAAGCTCAAATTGTGTGTTAGAAAAATATTAAGATCTTCAACCTCTACCCTTTAAAAGTCTTTATTTTTTCCTTACGAGAATTTCATCTATAAACGGAACTTGCAGAGAGGATTGCTTCGCAAATAATCAGGATTTTGCCCAAACAGCTCAGAAATAATTATATCGATGGCAGATGTTGCAGTTATTCTTGGTATACAATCGGCCGAAATTCGAATTTATGTCAACAACAGAAGGTAAGCTTCCATTAAGTCTGACGGAAGCGTTTCATTACAGCGCATCGCCCCACTTGCAAAGGAAGCCTAGCGTCTTAAAGCGTTTATTACGATGATGTCGTACTTGACATAGTTGAATTGGGTAAAGGTTTGGACCTAAATCGTTTGAAACTTTGGCAAACCATTACTGAAGATTTGACAGAATTATCATATTTATAAACGTGTAATCGATTGGCATGCTTTACACAATGGCGCACGTAAACTAGATGGGTTTGCGGTAACATCACGGATATATCTCTTTTTGAGTGTGTAGGGTTCTAAAAAGAACCAGTGGTAGTCAACGATTCGGGCTGCCTGACGACGGATAGAGCATACTGTCCTAAACGTTGAGTACTATCGGTCCTTTTCAGAACCCCACACACTCAGAAAAAGATATATCCATGGTGCTACCTCAAACTGATCTAGTTTACTTGCTTCCTCCACCACGAAAACTAAGCTAAGTCTCATCCGCAGTGGCACAAGGCATGAATAACTTCAACTTAATTGTTTGAATATCTTCCTATAATTTATTTCAATTATTAAAAAAAACCTCTTTATTGGCTTCAAGAAGAATTCATTCAATAATTTGACCGCTGAAAACAATATAGGAATGAAATTAACTAATCTATCAAACTTCTATTCAGGGATTGCACAGGATACAGGCATTTATTGCATTTTAGTCAAAATATGGAGCAGTTCCTTTTAATTCCGATATTGTCAGAGTAACGAACTCCCTCCTCGATATTTTGGGCTAGGACAGTGTAAACTTAATTAAATGAGGCTGTTTGTGTATTTTGTTTTCTTGTTGGTTGGCCGGTTGTTTTCTCGCTAAGTGATCAACTGGTGCTAGATGTTCTTCATTTCTTCCAACCTTCATGTAATAGGAGAAGGATGAATTGGTTTTGACAATTTTGACTAGTACGTGTTGACAGGTGTTCAGGAACGGTATTTAAATGGATTTCAAATTCGCTCTTCGGAGGATTGAAAACTGACCGTGATTGAAAGCCTATCATAGGGTAGTGATGTACCAAGGCTTATTTCTAAGCTTTAGATCCTACTATCAGTGTCCATTAAAAAGATCTCAGGATCCTTTACACTTTCAGGAAGAACTGTCCTTAAGCGTTTGACTGTCTTCTCTATTCCCTGCCCTGCGCAGTGAGTGCGTTTATTTGATGACTGTATATACTGACTTACAGTGTTGTATTTGAGTCCATCGTAAATCCCCATAAGTCCATCACAAGTCCATCACAAGTGATTCAGTCTTCAGCCAATTTACAAGCTTTCCAAATTAACTATGACGAAAATATTCTTTTGTCATCATTCCGCTACTTATGGCTGGCCTTGTGAAGGGACTTGTGACTGAAATTGTGAAGGGACTTGTAAATGGACTGGTGATGGACTTGAATATCACTGCTGGCGTGCCTTGTGGCGATTGTCTCACCATTTTGCGGCCGATCCCTGCCGTTCACCTACCACGGCGGAACTCAGTGACTCATGCACTCTCCACATTCTCATGGTGCACTGGGAACACGAGGCTGCCTAGAGCAGCAAATTAGTGGACGATTCCACCCTAGGTCCCTCGAGGAAAGATTAAAGTGTGCCTCTCAAAATTTAAAAAGTTTAAATCCAACCAACTTGAATTTGAAAACAGTGAGGGCAAGTATTTCAAGCCCATACAAATTCAAAATGCCAGAGAGAGTCCAAATGTTACCAGAAGATAACTCCTTTGTCTTGAGTGGCGGAGGTTGAAAGATGTTTCTGACGTCCCTTCTCTTTTTTTTCCACTTTACTAAGAGGATGAGTCCAAATTTGACCGTTTTCCACATTTTGGACATCAAAGCACCTTCTTGTCAATTACTGGGATAATTGGTGTGAAATGTTGTGGGGGTACCCGGGCATACAGACACAAGGGGGAACCAAAAGCAAATGATTACGTGCGGCTTGCTCTGCAGTGATGTATCGAAATCTTGGGGGCTGAATTTTGCCTGTTAAACTGACCGTTTTTAATTTGTCATCTGTGATAGAATGCTCACTACTCCCATCTCTGTACCGTTTCTAAAATGGATGCTCTTTCAATTCTCAAAAAGTGGCAAAATGTCTCTGGGATAACCCCCACCCTGGATTCGCCTGTTATACTCCTCAAACAAAATCTCGTAATTTATTGGAACTCACCAAGTAACCACAAAAAGGTGCAGACGATTTCCCTAAAATGTGCGGGAAAGTTAGAGCAAGTTAACTGTTGAGGACTACCAATGAAAAGCTTGGGCGATTGCCAAACAAGACGACTATAACTCAGCAAATGGCCACGATGAGGTAACACCCAAGAGGGTTGATTCATGGTTACTCCTTGCTGTAACCTGTTTAGACTAGACTTGAGTGGGAGAAAGAAAACAAGAAAACACAAGCTACAAACAAACTGAAACCAATCCGTCGACGAGATTCCCTTGTGCGTGAATCACAGAATTAACCTCCTGAGGGGAAAAATTGAAGCTGTAAAGCTTTATTAGACAAAGCTTGGAGTCTTTCTACCAATGATGAATAAATGCTGAGACAACAGTAAAAACGAAACAAAATACAAATCTCATTCTAACAATTTCTGTGGACCCCAAGACCGCATAATTTAATGCGTTTCATAGATGGAGTCTCAAATTGCTGTTCGATTTGAATGAAACTTTATGTCTACTTGGAAACCGTTTCATTAGGACGGTTGTAATTTGGTACCTTGGCATTCCATAACTATATTATGTCTCTTACGCCAAAAAGTAACAAAAACCAACTACATGATACACATAAGTAATGCGATGGAATTTCCCATGAATTTTCTCGTACTTTAACCATTTTTGTTTGCAGTGATCAAGTTCAACCTGCATTACAAAAGGAATCCAATCACAGTGAACCAGTCGTTAGCACACCTTGTGATCCAGGTAATAAGTTGGTGTGAGTGAGTCCTCTCATCATACGAGCCTCATTACATTTTGTCCTCGCCTTGCTCTTGCCGTCGGTGGAATGTCCTAAAGCATAAAAAATACACAAGGATGACAGTTCTTTGTAACGACGTAAATATTTCTAAAGAGCTCTGCACCTTTAGTATTGTTCATATGGCTTACTTATCCTTAAATCAGGAGTGTCCTTTGATTTATATTGTGTTAGCCTGCCTGAAATAATTGGTACTGAAAAAAATTATTTTGAAGGCCTTGAAACAAATCCTTGAGTATTACTACCCTCGGAAGCAATATCCCATTCTTTATCGGTTAAATTCGTTACCCTGTTGTCCAAATAGATGTTAGTTTCAAATCATATGCATTGTTCATGCCTTCAGTATTTCCGCAGACAAAGTAACGGCTTAGAAAACAAAGTACTGGATAAGCCACCAAAGCGCCCCCTCCACTTCAATCGACTTGTACACAACCCCTTTTTTCAACATAAGGTGATGTCCCTCCAGTGAAAGGCGTACCTGAGAAACTTCCTGTGACACTGGCAACAAAACTAGACACCATCACCGATGATTATAGCAATGAGTCTTCCTTCACGGAGAAATCTCTCAAGCACGAGCAGAAAGAAGATCTGTCCGGAGGCACGACTGGACTCAACTCAGACGAGGTACTTCGCTCGGAATTGGAAGAAGAAGTGGAGGCTGTGGACTCCTTAGCACCACGCGCACCGCACCCTGAGAAGGATGCTGGCGCTGATAGCTCGGTGACAACAGAGGCTACTTTACGCAAGCCCGGTCAAGATATCGCGACAAACAAGCACAGTAAGAACACCAAAGTTTGACAATGAGACAGACTGGTTATTATCCACACAAGCACATCCCAAACAAGTCATATCTTTACCCTTACCTAAGAAAAATGGGGGCACATTTCTTGATGGGGGAACTATTTTAGAAAATTTGTTTATGTTACATTTCAAGTCTTCCTGGGAGTTGAAGCTAAGTATCGGGGCTTTTAAAACGCTTAAGCGTGGAAGGAATGACTATTCTCCAAACTGCCCTTCTCCCGAAAATCTGTTAATCTTCTTTTTCTAGTAATGGGCCCCTGATTCCGCAAATGGCTTCGCTTGAATCACCAGATTCTCGTTTTCGTCACCAATTAGTTCCAGATGAGAAGAAGTCCGAGCTGTTTATCGATTCTGGCATCTTTCCCTTTATTGCCATGGGTGTGTTGTCAGCGCTGTTTATTACCATGATGATCGCTGCCTTGTACTTTGCCCGCCATTCATCTGACATCCAGCATCATCACAGGCAAATAAGGTGAGATCTTGAAGAGAAAAACAGCCTCTAGAAGCAGAATCTTATTGCTGAGATTCATATGCTCAGCGAAATTAAGTTGAAAAATAGAATCCACACTGTCATTGGTTATCTTTTTTTTTATTATGTGTTTTCTATGATTCCTATGCTCGAAGCTGAGGAGATGATTGGCAGCAGTGAATTTTAGTCATGTCATGATGCGTCCACTTGTCTTTCTATGCTGGCAGAAGTGGCACATTTACGGGGAGATTTGGTGAAAAAATTTTTAACAATTTTGCAGATTAAATTTGGTCAAACTGCATGTCAGCAGTCAATATCAAACTTAGTAAAGTTGACTTATGATCAAAGTTTTTTCAAAAGAAATTAACCCAGAGACATATCCGTTTTTGCACGTGTGCTTTTGTTAATGCCCATGTACAAAAGGTGGTTTCCATGTAAGCAAAGGTTCGCTGGTACTCACCACCCCATCCTAAAGCTCTTCTATTCACTCTTTCCTTTGACAGGATTCTAACAGGGGAACACAAAGTAGTTTGGATAACAAACCCTTTGCGATTTGTGCACCTACTTTTCGTGATCGGTCAATGTGCTCGCAGGGAAGTGTTGAACTTTTCAAAGGGAATGACTGAGAGGGTAAAATATACGAAGATTTCTTAATGACATTTCTCAGGCGTAACGCGAAGGCTAAACTGGTTTTAAACACCTCAGAAAAGGAAAACTCTCGAAAATGTCCTTCTCGTTTAGTGTGGGGCATAGCCCTGTTTGATCGCCGTAGATCCGCCAATGACCTTAAACACCGTGGAAAAAAGAATTAAGTTAGGGCACAGCTAGCCGGTGGCCGAGCGATGGGTGTGCGTTGAGGGAGAGGACGACAATAACGTCCGAAAAAACGCTCATCTTTTCAGGGAAATGTCTGTGTTGATCGTCGTTGTGATAATGAAATTATTGTCTGAAGGATCTTGTTCTGGATGGGAACAACCAATTCATCCATTCAGTGACTTTGAAGGAGCTTAACAAAAGTTTCATCAAATCATATTTCGAATTGATAGAGTTCATTTTCAACTGAAAAAAAAAGTGAAATAAGACGTGACTTGAGTTTGTTTTACCAAGAGTATCAATCACATGTGGCCTGAATTTGCTCAAAAAAGGATTGCATCACCCATATCAAAAAGACACAAATGGCTATCAACAACATACAAGGCCGGATCCAGACCCATGGGGGAGGGCAAAACAGGTCAGTAGCATCTTTGATGTACCTTTACACCAACTGATGGCACCGGCTACTGCTCAGAAAAAAAGTTTCTGAATAAAACGGCTCTGACCGAACAAAACAACTTCCCTTTAAAAAATTAATATCTGCACATTGATAAAGAAAACCCTCCCCGGATAACATTTTCTGTTCACGCACGCGCATACACGAACAGCCACGATGCACGGCACTGGTCGAAAATTGTGTTCAACGCCGAGTGTATGGTACTGTCATCGCTCCGTTTCGCGCTGAAGAAATCCAAGATACTTGGTGGTGCTTGAAAAATGAAACCCTTTTTAAATCCCGTTGGAAAGTTAACGAAAAGTTCGTGGCCGTGAATGAACTGTCGAAGAGCATTATGCTGTCTTTCACACGAGGGAAACCTAATTTTTGAGAAGCAAATTGCAAAGCATCATCAAAGTGTTCAGCACTAAGTTTTTTTTCGTAGCACGCAAACATCATGTACGTGTACACATACTACATGTACATGTGGGCCTACATGCAGATGTACATGTACATGTAAATGTACATGTACATTGTACACTCACGTACACTCAAGTACAAACAGGAGTCAGGGGAATAGATAGATCATGCCTGATGCTTTTTTTCAAGTGTGATACATATTCAGTAAGATAATTCAGGGCAAACCGCATCATGCCTTATGCTAATAATGTGCGCGCGCACGACACATATTTGATCAAATTCCGGAGACGTTGCTGGCGTAGCTAGTTGTTCGTGCGTTCCAGCTATTCGTCTTGTAAGTGCCTTCTCACACAACAACGTTTTGACCAAGACTACTGAAATGGGAGATACCGCCATCCTTGATTAGGGGCCAAATAAAAACCAACGTAAAGAAAGCTGAACTCATGGCAAGGGTCACGATAAAGTTTACCCCTCAAATAGGGTACCGTGACCCCAATTCATTTCCCCAGGGGACAGTCAAGGGGAAGACATGCTTTATAACAGGTGTCAAAACCTCTAGTAAAGACTTAGGCCTACTGACAGTAAAGACACTAAATTACCTCGCAGACTATTCCCTACAGGGCATTCTAATGATGAGTAACTCGTGACAAGTTGACCTTGGCAGTTCTTACCCTAATCCCTAATGAAATCATAACTGGCCCCGTGAAAGCGTAATAATGATACATTGAAGTACTTGGGGAATGATTTGGTGGTGATCCACACGAGTGGGTCATTTCGATTGTGTTATTGTGGCTTAAAAAGTAAATGATGTTGCATTATGGACTTCTTGGTCGCTGTACTTCTGGTACAGAACATTTCAGATCGTGGAGAAAGTTAAGCTTGAATTAACACCACGAGTTGTATACTTAGCTGATACACCAAGTCAACACCGCAAGTAAAGTCTGATTTTAACAACATTTTAATGTTGTGTAATCACTCTAACTGGTGGAGAAGCAAGCAAATGTATATAGGCTTAGAACTGTTTATTTTAGAAGGTAGAGTATAGAAATGAAACAACAGCGTGCGATAGAAGGGGGTTTCTGTCTATCTAATCAGGAATACATGACACGTAAATATCCCATTTTCAGAAGATATATAATTTTGTATTGGTTTTTGTTTCATTTCAGTATGAAGCCACTGGGACTCGGACCAGTAGGTCTACCCACCTCACGTAATTCTGGCTCAGCTTTTCACACCGTGACCTTTCGAAACGCACAAGATGGTGTCATAGGTAGGAAAATTTATTTGGTATATATTTGTAGTAGAACATATATATTTGAAATTTTTCCATCAGAAGGACAAGTTTAACCGAAATCCCAGCTGGTTGCCTTTGGTAAGTCTATTTCCAGCCATAATTATAAGCCTGCAGGTGCAAAGCCACAAGGTGGGCGAAGGGAGGGAGAGGTCCGATTACACAGCTCCAAGGATGTCAGAAAAGGAAAAACGTAGGAACAGTGTAATTTGCAATCGGTAGAAAAAGGCATCAGATAAAATAAAACTTTTGAAATAATGAAAAAACAAAGTCTTCCAAGCAATGTGGCAATCATTATTATTAGTAAACGATGATACTTTGCAATTGGGTGAGGTTTGGGCGTCAATTTAAAAAAACAATCGAGTTTGTGTTTGCTGTGACTAAAATTTTGATCAGCGTACCTTTTATGGAAAGGAAAATACGGCTTGATCCATTTGACGTTCAAAACCAATGTGAGAAGTTGATTGTGGATGTAATTGTGCGCCGTTGGGGCCACCCCAAGGGATGGGAAGATTCCAATGCCCCCCCCCCCCAACACGTACGTTCTCGTTATGGGGTCATCAAATACAAATCCATAATTCTAGGTTCTGGTGCTATTCCAACCCGAGCTCCCCCCACCATGACACGCACACGTGTAGATGTGGACGAGAATTTATAACTTCAAATCAGGTTTTGAAGAATTAGAACCCCCAAAATCTTGACGCGCGATCAGGCGTGACGGTAACTCTAGGCTTTTATGTTTGTTTCACTACCGGGTATACTACATACATATAGTTAAATTAATAACCTCTGAAAATGAAATTTAATTTGTTTCCACGAACCTTTATTTTGTTCCTAAGGGCGAAACACAAACGCTCCTCTATAAGTGTACAGTTCGCCCGGCTGCAAGTTCCTGAATTTTCTGCTAATGCGCATGCGTTTTTAACTGTCGCCCGGGTAAGCCGGACGAAAGTTAAAAACACACGCATGCGTATTTACTCCTCGTGTGAACGATTGCGTGTGTCCTGGCCTTGGCAAACAGCAAAATAGCGGCTGGCGCGTGACCGTCAGTGCACCAATGAGAGTTCGGCGATCCGTTATGAACATGTATCACGGATATTGACTGGCTAGAAGTGGGGTAGACGGGTAGACACGCATAGCCGAGTACGGAAACACTCAAGCAGCTGCCTCGCGCCCAGGCTGAGAGTTAGTCATGCTAGGTTAAAACCCAACAAGCATGCAGATTATAGGCATGCAAGCAGTTCCAAAATCAGAAATGTAAGGGAAATACCTTAATTTTTCCCTCATTTTATGATATGTCTCCTCAAAAGCATGACTTTCGTTGACGAATTTGAAATTAAACGTTCACTTAAATCGTGGAATTAACAGGGCATGGTTGTGAGTTTTTCTTTTCTTTTTTTTAGAGAGAACTCGAGCGTGGACGTATGCTTAACTTTAGTTGAGTTGTACCAGGATTTCAGTTTCAACGTGAAAGGAAGTCAAGAATTTGGGAAGTAGATAACGGTTTTAAATTTCTTCTATGGGCTGGTGGGAATTTATCGCCTTAAAGAGATGCCAATAGTTGAAGCATGCACTAGTTGTATTCATGTTCTGTTAAAGAGGCAACATTGAAACACGTTTTAAAGATTGCAGTGCAATTTGTCGTGCACAAGGTCATCAGAGGCCATTCAAGGTGAGGACTATACAGAGAAAAACTGGAAATGAAAGGTTGATGAGAGAAACAGATGATGATGGGATGATTATTACCGAAAATGGGTCACTTGGGAGACATTCCCATAAGAACATGCACAAACTTTAGTGTCCAATTATTAAATATTCCCTTATCTGATCTGAACCAAACTTTGTATGTTTTCAGTTTTGACCCTAATCTATCATCTCTAAAAATTTGGACGGTAAAATTCGGCCTCCTTCTGGTAGTTGGACTGATGTCTCCCTAAGGTCGAAAATCTATCAAAAAATGTCTCCGTAATGACCCATCTGTAAGAATAACGGTATGATTTGTTGTCTTTATAATGGGAATTATACATGGGAACATATTTAGTGCAACTTTTACTCTTGTAAATGTATGGAAATTGTCTGGAATATCTCTCAACGAAACTGTCAATGTTACTCTCAATAAAAACAGCGCTTTTCAAATGTCTGATTTCCTTGACAAGTGGGGATGCTCTTGCTGTGGTGTCATTACTAGAAGACGCCGTTACTCTTGTGGGCTTTCTTGTCAAATGATGAACTTAAAATGTGCTCACTGAAAATATCTTTAAGAGAACAGTGAACGCCTATAAATTGAAATAATAACGAGCAAATGTGAGTGCAGAAACAACTGAGGTTTGTGCTTTGATTGACATCACGCTTTTGCTCGTAAGTATGCAAATTTGCATTGGAATAAAAATCAAAAGATACCGAAATGCCCTTAAAATAGCAAAACAAAAGTTTAAATACCAGGTTAAATTGGACACAAATTAGCATATCTGAGAATTGCATTAAAAATTACATTGACTAGCATTTTAACAATATATGTTTTCATTTTGTCAGCCGGTCTAAAAAACATAATAAATCTTTTAAAAGTCATTAAGTGATTGAATAAACGGTCCGAAGAATGTAACATCAAAAAAGCTTAGAACAGATTGCTAAAAGGAACATGCTTAATTTAGCTGACATTTGCTTGAAAATGTTCGAAAATAGGTTCTTGAATTCTACATTTAAGCATCCGGGATTAGGATGTAGTTGCGAAGTCACTTCTGTCTAAGAATAGTCACAGCCAGAAGTCACACCAGGGATTGTCTGATTCAGCATAAGATATTTTGAGATACTTCCTCTTTGGGAGGATGGCAAATTGGCTCTCTTTAGGTGGTGTGGTTGTCAAAATGTGTCATTTTGTTAAAGGTTGATTGTGAAAACTGAAATGGTGGTTACCATTTGCTGGAATGTATATAGCTGTACTTTAAAACTGACTTACAAATGAACTATTGCAGTATTAAAAATTCAAGACAGGAAAATCTTTTAAAAAATCAACTGGATTGAAAAGAGTATCTCTGCGAACAATGGGCTTTTGGCATAAGAGGTCTGGCCCCGTCGAGTGTTTTTGACATGTATACAGACGTTGACTTGACTTTGTAATTGGAACGACCAGTGACATTCTGTCATTTAAGATACCGACAAACCATTTTAGTAACTTTTCGTTCTTTGTGAAAATAGAGTGCTTTGTGGTAGACAAACTTATTTTTGCGATAGTCGAACTCCATTCTTCACAACTTCTGCTCATCTCGCCTTATGATGTTCTTGTTTTTAATATTAGGTGATTTTGCAGTGAATATGTTCGCTGTCCATCAAGATGCGCGGGAAGAAGCTAGCCGAGAACTAACCAATATGTCAGAATCCACACTGCTAGCAACACCAAGCGACACCGCTGTTTCAAAAGCCGCCCCAGAACCAGCAACGCACGAGGCGGTACGAAGCACCACAACTCTCCTACATCGTGATCTGCCTGACGTCGTCAGCACCCCGTCCTCGCGTAGAGAAACCATGTCCAATAATAGACACTCCACTGGAAGCAGTCTGTACATGGAACTCATAAACATGTGCCGAAATACTCGACTTATTGAGGAACTGGCGCTTAGGAGAAAGAACATTAGGATGCAAGATGCCTCGCAACCAGAGAATGATGAAATGTTCTCATCTGACACCGACTCTAAGAGTGGGAAGCTAGTTGTACGCCGTCAAGTTTCTTTAGACTCGGGGCGGTGTCGTAACACCGTACCATTGCCAAGTACTTATGAGTCTCACTACTTTAAGTTGTATGATGGAGATGATGATGATTCATCGGCCCTTGCTTCAGCCTCAGCTTCAGCTAACACCACGATGGATGCTGTCCCCTTCTCGAGTGATGAGGGTTGTAGCAGTACACTGAATAGCCTTCATCGGAAAGGATCTTCCAAGAGAAACTCGCGGTTACTTGACGAGTCACGCCAGCTGCTTCCTGTGCAAGAGTTCTTCAATGAGGCAATGATGGATAGTTCAGACGGTGGTGATGTTCTGTATGAGACTATTGATGAGATGGGATACCGCAGACGTACGGCATCCTCACAGGCGATCCGCCGTCTGATGGAGGCCCGGGAGAGCGCAGGACACGCCGGGGAGACGATTGTGGTCGAAAACGCCTGGGAATCCTCACCGAAGAAATATGACAAGATTGATCGCAGTATCACAGCTTACAAGAAACACATAGCTGTTGACAAAGATTACAACACATTGATGGTCTAATGTTGCCCATAATGATTGTGCAACAAGGAGATATCCATATGTACAAAATTCGTTTGACTTCATAGAACCATTGTAGAATTAAAATGCCATTTCCAATTCTAGTGAATTTACGTCCTGTACATTAGGTTTCTGAAGAGATTCTTTCAGCTATAGCGTGTTACGATCCACTTGGGGGTTAATCGCTTATACGTTTTTGCCAAAAATCAATTTAGAAAAGGGGACCCAACTTTGCTCACTCCTAACCCCTAAAACCTTGGACCTGCTGTGTAACACCTTGGACCTGCTGTGTAACACCTTGGACCCGCTGTGTAACATTTATTTAGAGTATAGTTTTCCAAGATATACTCAACATTTTTGTAGGAATAGCGACTGTGTTGCTATTAATTTATTTCAACTGAGACAGAGATGCTTGCAAGATTAAAATGTTGTTACAATCCTTTGCTCAGATAGCCCGGATTAATATACAGAACAACTACATGTATAGGCAAGTCCCTAAATTACATCAAACCTGGGTTCCATTTGTTGATACATACTGCCTACCAGAGTTAATTGTATCTCATAAGTGTCAACTTTTTTTACATTTTCAGTATTTACAAGCGATGTCGAGACTCTGATATAATCGCTCGAGTATTCGGACAGTTTACTAAAGTGCATGAAAGGAAATCAATCGCAAACACCTGTTCCCAACACGTCCCTTAATTGCTGGTTTTCATGTTTCCTTAAGCCTTCTGTTTTAAATTCTTAATGAAATAATGTGCAAACGAATGGTGCTACATTTGGTCGACTCACTGAACAAAATGAAAGCTTGGAAAACTTCGTCAAACCGTGATGTTGATTTTCAGTCTGTTTTGAATTTTTTTATGCTGCACTCATGTTTTAACAAAACTTCCCGCAAACTACAATTTCCATTTGTCATTTGTCAACTTAAATTCAATAAGTAAGTTAAAACGCACATGGACTCGCTACTATTGACCTGGCCAAAATTAAAGATTCGTTATTCTTTGATATACGTTAATCGTATGTCTACAGTTTTATCAAGATCGTCTCATATTATTAAGTTGACACAAAATGCAAGTTATGTATTCAACTGCACATGCGCACAAAGGCATCTAATGGTCACAAATGAAAAAACCATGGGATAGCGAAGATCAATTGTGTGTGATTTCGCACATGCCAAACCAACGACATAGGGAAAACATTTCGATCTCAAGAACTCACAAAATTCTGAAAAGGTGTACAATTTTTTCCTTTGATTTCATTTAAAAAAAATTACTTAGTACTTTTTGCCCTTGGATTGAACATACACTTCAGATTCATGGCCGTAGACTTGACTTTTTTACCCATTTATCTCGAATGTTTATCCCCAAGAACAAAATCTAAAATTGTGAAGTGTGCATGCGCAGAGGGAAGACCGAAATGGCTCATATCGTAAGCATACGAAAGGTTACAAGTTAACATTACATTCCTGTATAAATTATGGTAATGTTTGGAGCGTTTAAAATAATTACTGTCTTTGTATATGAAGTCAACAAATTTAATCGTTTTATTATTTTTATGTAAAACTTTAATTTGATAAATGTTCAAATTTCGATATATACATCATTTATTTGAAGAATATTCATTGGTGAAAAAGTTGACTATTCTGGTAGCATCAAACGTATTTCCAGTGCTTAATATTGAATTGGTACGATTATCTGAAAGGAATGTTAACGACATTTTTGTCAAGAATTTTACCAAAAAGCTACAATTAGATCTCAAAACGAGAGACAGTGCCGGCATAAATTTCTCTAGTCATCCATTTTCTATAAAAAAAAAACTCACAAATGTACAAATTACGGATGAAACTAGAATATCAACTTCTGTGGAACACAAATCCATCGAATAGGTGAAAAAATGTCAGTCAATTCAATGAAAGAACCCAATTATTTCTTATTACAAGCTCTACTTCAATCTTTCCCGGTTATTCAAATTAAAACCAAACAAGTGCTACATGATATATCCGTTTAATTTTAAATGACAGCACACCAAACTGAATTATGTCAAGTTGGTCTTCAGTACTAACTGAGACTTTACGTCAAGTTTAAGAACATTATACAATGTCTGAAAATCCACACCCATTTTGCATTATTATTTTACAATAAAACAATGTCCTAACGTGGGTAAGAAATTAAAAGTAACATCTGTCTGTTGTCTAAAATAAGTAATGATTAATGATTACTCTACATTATTTTATGATATAAAATTTCATTTTATTTAAGGCGAAAGTCCCTTAAAAAATTCTATTATTGTCGATACAAACTAGTAAGACAATGTGATTTTAATAAAATGTTACATAAAACCAAAAGTCTCGTTATCATGTGCCACTCCGATCGCTCATTCTATATCTTGGCATGTTACATAGTTACACGCCTGCTTAAATACAACAGTAAGTAAAGGGTTATTTGGTTTTGAAGGTATTTTATTTACAGCAAGGTTCATAATGTTGCGGTAGTAGTAAGACGGTGGGTAAAGAAGCTAACATCGCACAATATACACGCACATTATATGACATTCAGTCCTATGCTCACTTTTTATAATTTGGAAATCTCGTTTCCTGATGGACCCGTCCTTTCGTTTTCATTCAATTTCAAATACGTACTCCGAAGGACTGACTGGCGTTGAAATCATTTGGAATCTTCATGTAGAGTCGAAAAGGCATTAACGTAGGTGGTTGGTGAGCAAGGGAGTCAGTAGAGTAGGCTTAAGATTTAATTGGGTTCTTTTAAGGTATCCAACTGCTCTAAGCCATACAAAACAGGAGTTGCAGTTTCTTTCTCTGAGTTGGACAGGTGATCGTACCCCTCCGTAGGGACTCGTGCGGTGTTCTCTGTGATTTTCTCTCTGCGGTTGAGTTTGGAGTATTCACCTCCATCTTCGGCAGCCACCACGACACTGTGTGTCTTCTCCAGGAAAGGGTTGTGGGCTACCTGTTCGTAGTCATCTACGGGTTGTCTCGTTTTCTTGGTTGCTTCAGCATTCTTCTCAGTTGTCATCTTCAATGGAAAGCCATAAGCTGTAGTCTTTGTGTTCCAGGTCTCACTCATGCTCCTTTCTTCACGGAATCCACCGCCTTCGTTTGGATCCTCAATCTCATCTTCAGGATCACGGTCTCCTTGCTGCCATGTTGCGTCCTGCATGACCTTGTGGTAATACGGAGAATGATCCTGGTGATTCGATGTGTCTCTAGCTGGATCCTTGACGAGAACGGTCAGTTGATATTCGTTGCCTCGATTCGCTTTAGTTCCACGGTTGGAATTCACTACCGCTGCTCCCCTACATGCTTCCTCTGGTTCCCGCTCCGAATCGTTCGGCCGGGGCTCTTGGCTTTCCTTGCTCCTCCTCTGGAACTTCTTGGAGCTATTCAGCTCAGTGGTGACCATCTTCATGCTCTGAGCCTGGCTGGTTGGTTTGGCCTGCCTGATCGCTTTGTGTTTAGTATCAGGACTACGCGGGAGGCTAGGGGTTCGTCTTTCTTTAGGCCGCTGCGCACCTGTTGAGACTGCGTTGGCCTCGTCACTACGACGCTGCTGCGGTACCTTGGCTTGAGTATTGCTTAGGTTCACAAGAAAATGCTCCAAATTACTTTGGATTTCTGCTGCAGGTGATGGGATAGAAATGGCAACATCGTCAAGCGGCTCTCTCGATCTTGTCAGAAGAGGTGAGAAAGTGTCAAATCCAGGACCAGATGTGTCTGAAAGATTTCGAAGAAAACAAAAATAACTACCAATTCTGACATTCTTGATAATACATTTGTCCATTTTGCACTGAGTTATAGGAAGTCAGCTCAACCAAGACAAATATATTTGATTGAGAAATCTGAAAGTGTTTAAACCACTGAATTACTTAACCGTATTTTTGACTTGATGCAGACATTTAACTTAAAGTTGTAGGTGATAACAACAAACTTGATATCAGTGTGGTGATGGGGATTTAGAACCTATAGTTTAAAGTTGAAAAGGAGAATCATTTGTGCAGTTATGCACCCATAACCAACTGCACTGTTAAAATGGGTTCGTGGATTTGGGGTTCAACAGAATGTCTCAAATTATTGCAAGTAAAATCATTAAATGTTTCATGAGAACTTTTGAAAATGTAAGCATGATTCGAATTATTAAAGAGAGCGTACTGAAAGAAATGCAAACATTCCGGAGAAAAAGGTTATTCTCGTAACACGTAAACCATTGTCGATAATTTGATTCGGATTTTATGTAAATCACAGAATCACCTGTCACATGTGGTTACTGATTCCTCTGGCACTTCGTATTTGCAAAAGTGATCACAGAAACAGGTACAATCGTTCTCTTACCGTTTTGGACCGACACAGCAACACCATTGCCGTTTTCCTTCCTGTGTGCCCTGAGAAAGGGGACGGGGTAAAGGTGGAGGCAAATTAATTTCAGTTGATAATGGTAAGAATTCTACAGAAAAACCAACATTAAATCATTAGCAAAATTTTATGAATTCATAGGATCAAGAAATCGAGGCTTCCAAGAAACGAATACAGCGGCGAAATGACAGTTATACATAAATGTGTGCCGGGGACGGGGGAAACGGGGATGGTTAAAATCACAGCATGGCACAAGGGGGCGGTGTTCATATTACAGATTTACACTTGCACCCATGGCTTAAGCTTACGAACAGTGAATTCAAAGCTGTTGAAATTTTTCTCCCTTTTTCAGTTTTGGTTGTTTTGAGCTTTAAAAACCTCAAAATCCACCTTTACCTCATAGCACTAAAAAGTGGGGGCGGTGATCCAATAGCCCATCCCCTCAAAAAAGTTGGGAGATATATACCCCCATCTCTGGGATTTATGGAGTGAAAAAAAGGAGTACGACGAGGCCAGTGATGTCAATTATCACAGTGACCCAGTGCGGCAGTGCATCAGCAGTCGGACTGACAGTACGTGACAATGAACAAAACGACAACACCACAGGTAAATCAGGTTGGAGATTGAAAAGGACCTTGGAGGCACAGTAAGACAGGCGTGTAATCCAGCAGTTGTGCCAACACAAGTCTTCTTTCCACCCCTCCCCCTAAGAGGCACGACTCATAATCATATGACCCGTTGTCTGTTTCTAAACAGGATTTATTTCCACCCTTTTCCGTTTTAGTCAAACTGAGCAAAAAGGCAGACAAAATATTTGAAGCAGTAGAGGATCTCAATAGTTTTCTTTTCCATCCTTATTTTTTTTAGGCTATTGGTGCTACTTATCTACACTCAATCTTCGTGTTATGAACAGTGTCGTGCATGGGATTTGCGTGTGACACACGAGTAGTTTCCATTTCTTTACAAATAAATGGCAGTTAAAGGACATCGAACGGGTATTTCCTCGAATCAGATGCATCTTCTTCCTGATTGAAAATCCCTCTTGACAGCCGCACTCAGTTCAATGTGAAATTGTATCAAACTGAATGGAAAAAAACCTTAAAATGGGCTTGGAAAACACATATTGCTATCTTTTTTCGACAGCTAAACATAGCCACCAGAGTAACCATCTAAATAACGTGACTTATTGTTTAAAATTCTACGCATGTGTATTGCTCCTTTCTGCTACAGTGGCCAGCCTGAAGACGACGTGTGACCGGAATCACCGGATACCAGTGCAACCGCGTAATAGACAAAGCATTTTGCTGGCTAATGATATTATGAAAAACATCATCATCATAACGAGGAAGTTGTTTTGTTCGCCGACCCCTTCTCCTTGCCTTAGCCTCTGCCCAAGCACCACTTACCACGGTACACTACGAGGCTTGCTCTGCATGCGTCTTGTGCCACACCTATACATACTGCATGTACTTATGAGTACATTTGGCCAATTAGGCAATGAAGCAACATCACTCAAACAGCAAGCAATGAAAGCTCACGAGTAGTTTACTGCAACGATGTTTCCTGTTTTCAGCCGACCAGCACCGGTACCCAACCTGTTACTACTAAAAGGGGTCTATCATTCACTGGTAATTGCCTAATGCTAATAAGCTTGAGTTATTTTCATCATGTCAATTTCAGTTACCTTTCAGGATCAGTGGACGAGCCACACTGCTTGCGATATCTCCGGAATATTGCAGTCACCATCACAGTGATGATTAGAAGAAAAAAGAAGTTCAATGTCGACATCGCAGCACTGTAGATGTCAACAACTGCATTAGACAAATTGAAGATTCATAAATTAATAGCATCTCAGGAAATTAACGTTGCTCGTGACCACGTGACTATGCAAAGCACTAATTTTTGATTTTTTAATTTGTATTATAAAAAAACGCTGCAAATTTGTTCATTTATGTGAACTTAACTTTTCGTGAACTTAATGACAACGATTCCCCAGTTAGTTGATTTTCGCTATGAGTAGTTTGTATACAGCAAAATGATGTGAAGTACTACGTGAGATTTCGACCAGTTTTGGTCGTTGGCATCTTAACTTTGCTTTGCTTTCCCATGAAAGATGAGGGCTTTGTTATTCACCTTATCGTTGTTCAAAATGAGCCACCAACATTGAAATGGAGCAAAATCATAATTGCTTTCGAAATCAAGCGGCAATAACCAAAGAGGGAATTTTTACATGCGTGTTTTATTTATTTCTTTGATCAATTTAAGGGCCACTTAGTCAGTGGTCAAACGGAACAAAGCAAAAGTGCTTAGTGCAGAGTTTTCCAGGTCACATTTGCACTTGAAAATGATTGAGGTTAAGGACAAATCCAGCGTAGAATCAGTGGCTGAAAAGATATGTTTCGGAAAGCCAAGACAACAACGAGAAATGAACTTTGAGCTGTGATAGAATGAGCGGAATCTACATACCAGGTTATTATGTGAATAATTGATAGAAAGGAGGGTTAGCTTTCGAGAAGTGAAATCTGACTATATTGGAATCGGTGAGAACTATGTGACGTCTTTCTCGTAGATAATGAAGTAAACGAACACCTGGCATACCAGTACCAAATACTAGCTCGCTGTACTGTATTTGTATATAAATATGCATGCTATCTTTATACTGCCACACGCATGCAGGTGATACCATGGAGAAAGGAAATATTTATATCATTCAGGCTGAGTGCTCTATCTAATGTTCTCGAAAAAAATCAATTCACAAAAACGTTACATTCGAATTGCTTCTTCTTTCCTGTTGCTTCCTTCTCATCAACCACAAATATCTCGGGAAATGACGGTGTCCAAACTTTGGAAAGCATGTATAAATTAAAAACTGACCAAAACAAACATCCAAAGCCATATTTCTGTTTTCCCAGGACCCAAGTCTTTTGTAAATTTTACATACCAATTTCAGCAACAATAGAGTTTCGTTTTCGATATAACTAAATTCAATTTCGTTCTCGTGACTGATAGTTTCTTGTTTTTTTAGGTTTGTTTTCTTTGTACTTGATGTCGGTCAAAGGTATTCAAGAATAGTTTTAAAGCCTTAGGTTGAATCAACTTTGGTCTGTTTTTCCCTGTTTGGTTTTCTTTTAGTATGAGCTCTTTTTGGAGTGAGTTTGAAAACTCCACCCATTTCTCTTCCATTTTTATATGATATCCTTTTTTATGTTCTGAAATAAATCTAATGGTTCATAAATATTAAATAAGTACAAGGCGGCTTGCTGATGCTTGGTTGAAACCAAACTTTTATTAGCTGATGAACATCAGCTCTTGCACAGTAAATGCCTGATAAAATTGCAGGCTACGATTTATGAGTATTGATCCTCATTATAAAGTCTTTTATAACTCAGTGGCTGTGAGTCACATTGCGTGGCTCGCGCCTAGCGACAATTTCCATATAAGATTTTATCACTGCACGCACGAGGTACATCCCCAGGGATAGGACGCCAGAGGGAAATTTCATCAGACACATGGTAAAACTGGGGAACAAAATCGTCGGAAAATGTGCATGTTGGATTATTTTTCTTTTTTTTCTCCCCTAAAAAGCATTTGCTAATTAAATGGGAAGAAAGGTGCCCTAAAACTTCTCATCGTAAGGTTCCCTAGCTGGTTATGAAGGAACTAGTATTAAAGCGCTCCTTGACAGTTTTATTCCTTAATAAAAAGCTAAACCAAATACCAAGCCAGTCTGGTATTTCAAAAGGTCAGGTCATTCGAGAACTAAGTACGGCGTATGGTCGTGCTGATACTGCAGCCCCTGAGCTCGTACTGTTGATCTCGAATGACCTCGGACGCACTTCATTTTGGACGTGCGCTGTTGGAATACTGAAAGGTTTTATTTTGTTAAGAGTGTTGATCATTAGTCATTACCTGCTTTGAAACTTGCGTTTTGATAGTTTATCATCAACTACTGCATGGCTGTTTACTTTCATTGCACTGTGCAAAGGGAAACATTGCTGTGTAGTTATTACATACAGTTTATGCGTTGTTATTTCCTCATGTACCGCTGCTTTAACGAACATCGGATCGTGGTTGCATTGGAGAAAAGGTAAGCGATAGATCTGTCTAACGAATTATATGTCATGGGTCGACCGAGCGAAGCAACGACTACAGAGAACAGAAAGGAAAGGCTGGAAATGAACAATTGAATAGAAACTGAAATATCAATTTGGACTTCGTTGATAAAAAGGCAGCATGTGAGGGAAGTGGAATTTTCTAGCATATGTGCATTTTATGTTGGAATTGGTCTTATGCCTATTTAGATTTGAAGAATCGGATGAGGACAGTGGGTGGGTATGTATGTATGTGGGGTGGGCGTGGTCGGACAATGGAAGATGCATTTAATGTACCCTTGTTAAAGGTAACTGAACTAGTCTGGTAAAATTCTCTAGAGGGGCTCAGAACTGCCATTGCTGGTTATTATTGATAGCCGTTTGCATGGAAAAACAATGAGATTCGTGGGCAGGGAAGGGTAAAGATGAGGTGGGATGATGTTTCTGATCTGATCAGAGATCGTTCAAATTTGCAGGAGACATGTCACAAAACAGTGACCAATCCTTCTCTTCAACAAATATCAAAGGGGTCAAGTCCATAATGTAAACCCAGGTCCACCTGCTTGCGTGCATATGTTACCATTCAAAACGAAATTTATTTAAATGAAATTTTTAAAAAGACCCTTAAGGGCCAAATAAAAAATATAAACAGGTTTATCATCCAGGCTTTTGAAAAAGGAGGAGGAAGAACTTTTAGTTCTTAATCTGATTTATAAATGGCCATGATATTTTTATTTCTTTCCAGATGCCTTCCTGTTGTTGAACGAACAAAATAAACATATTTTAAGTAGTTTATATAGTTTGTTTATTAAGGAAGGAACATGTATACAGTACAGTTTATACAGTTTGCTTATTTCTGTAGTAAGGTTTGACAAAAATTCATCAACACAGCTCTACAGTTTTCAACAGTTTGCAGTCAAGAAGAAGTTTGAAGAGAGCACAGCCCACTGCGTGATATGCATAATGACTGTCAGGGTCTAAAGATGTTCGATTCGCAAGTATTTTAACCGGAAGAATGGTTGATATTTTAATTTCTTTATCCAATTGTTTTAGTAAAAATCAAGAAACAAATTGGTGCAACCTCAAATCAAGAAAGCGGACGGAAACGCTTTCAATGATTCTATTTTTTACTTCTTTTGAACGTTCTTTGGAATTAGTACTCAAAAGGTGGCGAGCAGGTTTCTAATATTGCAGATTGATGCTTTGTTGTTATGTTTGAAACGATGCTCAGAAAGCAAAGCAAAATAATAAACTAGCGCACAAAAATTGACAATATAAACTATAGGATTACTTGAAACTATTCGGTTGAAAAACTCCACGTGGGTAGTTTTTATATTCAGACCTATACATACACGGATTATTTCTTCGAAGCGCCAGCATTCAACTTTTGAAAACGCAAACATTGAAACCAATGTCAACACTATACTCACCCTCAACGAGGCAACACTTTCTGTAAAATAAAATAAACAATAGGCGAAATAATAAACAACTGATTTTAATCAGACTATTCAACATATACATGAAGATATCGTGTGACTTTAAGATGACGAGACATCACGCCTAATCACAAGCACCAAAACTATCAGCCTTGAGCTAGACTAAGAGAGGGCGCTATTTTCTTAGCAATGGAGGCTCCTTTGGTCGGGAATGAACTTTGCTGGTTCATGAATGACTAGGATATAAGGACTATGGTCGCATCACTACCTACAAAATGAAAATTCCCGACCAGCATCGTCCGTTTCAACCGATGAGGGGTGCTTCTGTTATTATTGCATGATCATGGGGATTTTTCTGTTTAAGTAAAGGTGTTTGTATCGGTTCTAACACACCAAATTAATATGTATTGATGAAAGTGCGTCTACAATGCCCAATGATATTGGATCACGGGAGAGGGGACTTCACGAGGATATTCGCACAGTCGGACGTCTTCAGAAAATGAGCTGGGTGAGTGATTTGTGTATGTGTAGATGAAGCTGGCTCAAGTCCCATCTACACTAGAAGTCTTTTTAACTTGTGAATATCAGAGGCACGCCGTGCCACAAAAACGCAGGTTTCAGAATAAACGTGTCATTTACACATTTCGCACTTGAACATTTTTAAAAGACTGGTGATGACTGCTTCGTTTTACTTTGGCTGACGGTTGAAAACTCCCAAAAAATCGAATCTTTAGCTCTCCTGTCTCAGAAATATTGTCTTCATCTATTATACCACTCCCGCGGTAAGTGTTTTGGCGTTCAATTTCGTGAATTGACAAACATTTGTGAGATTCGTGCAAAGTTATTTATTCAACGTTAAATGTTCTAATTCCCTTTTTTTTTCTTTGTGACGAATTTATGCGATATATTTCACTAAGGAAACGTTTGGTTCTCGGGTAGACATCTCTATAGAAATGATCGATCAATGTTTATTCGGTAATTTGTATTTCGTTCCAGTTTGAATTGTTATGAAAAGAATGGATAACAGAGAAGTAAAATTATTTATATAACACATATGGACAAAATGGGGAAATGTCTAAAAAGGGATTAGAAAAATAGAATGGAACATAAAAGCAGAAACGTTACTTCAAAATGAGACAAAATAAGCCATTGTATTAAGAGAATCCGAAAAATCTTAGTAAATACATGCACATTTGCGGAGAGAGTGTGTTTCTTGTGAATAAAATAAAGAAATTACAAAACCGTAAACTGCATCTAAAGGATTTTTCTTTCAGCGTCCGTGATGAAGGTCCAGGGAGAGTTTCATTTCTGCATTTTGATTCAACGGGCAATCAGTATTAGAGCAAATATACTGTATTCTTGATGGATCGTTTGTTTGAGATATATAAAAATACACATTCAAGTCAATACATGGGACACACCTCTTGCGTGTTCTCTATTTGTAATCTCCGTTCCTTTTCTATACGCATCTTGCCCTATATTTCTCTGACCCTGAAGTATTCCAATTTGACGGCTCAAAATGCGAAAACGAATGAAGGTTGTGCACTGTTCAATTGAATGAAATTAGTTCTAAATTGAATTTGATACAATACATTACTTGAAGCCTGTAAACGCATATGAAAGCTCCACTGACAAAGAAAACATGGGAACAACCGGCTTTACGAATGAATACGAATACTGTGAAGATCACGAATTCGGCCGGGAAATCTATAATGCAGTATTATAAATGCGACTCTAGCATAAAGGGGAAGTCCCTCAAATTTTTGTGGCCACAAAAAAGAAAAAAATGTTTTTAATACATGAAGCGTCCATTAAGCTAAACAAATTACGCTCTTTAGTGATAAGGGGTTGAAAGGCGGGAGTGGTAAAACATGCTTACGTCAACTGTTAATGTAAAAGCAACATTTTCTAGAATGATCCAAACCCTTCGTTCATAAGAACACTGTTATGTGAGTAACGAGACAATGTTTACCATTATGTCACCTGTGTTTGGCCTAAGTTCCTGTCCTTGATTGCAGGAAATGTAGGTGAGCAAAGAACCGGGACACTGTTAGCATAGTTTCAATTTGTGTGAATTAAGTGAAGTAGATATCGAAACAAAATCAAGAAACAATTTAAATATTTCTAAGCTTTCAATGGGTTAACTACGATGCTATGCGAGACCATAAAATTCAGACCAGAATTCAGTCTGATCTAGTAGATCGTAGAATCAAATGGTTATGCATATGTTATAGCTTATCCCATGACAGTTGGACTAAGGGGCTCAGTCTTCTTCAACATTCATCCCAGAAAAAGTGCCACTCAGGCTCAAAACAAGTCCACGTTTATTGTCCCTTGAAATTTTGGTCTAGGTACCACCGTAAGAATTATCAACATCTATAAATCTAAGCAATTATTGATCTTGTCAAGTTGCCATGAGATTCCTGTATCGAAACGTGATGTCAAGTAATAAGAACAGTTAATAAGTTCAACGTTGAATGGAATACGGGTAAAATAATAATTATTTCTACAAGATATTACGGTAAATAAAATGGTGAATGGACTCACTCATCTGCCGGTGTTGGCATGCTGTTTCACAAATCCAAATAAAATGTCGTAATACCGTCGATGAATGTCCGCGCCAGACGTTGTCTGCAGTACGCTTACTGACTGTGTTCTGCAGTTATGCCTAGGAGTTTTATGTGCAACAGTGATAATCCGCTTCGACGCTCATCACGTGAACTAGCACAATGCTTCCACGCCAAACTCTTTCGTTTTTTTAACATGGCACGAGGAAAAACCTGTGTCGAAACCGTAACACAGCTAGGTTTTCTCTGACCCTTTTCCTGCTAGGATAGAGAATAACATTTCGTCATGACCAATAATAACAGACAGTGTTCCGCTTTGTAGTCTTTCAATTTCAAGGAATGCCATTCAGGCAACTGTAGAAGCGCGCGCTCATGTTTAGACTTGTTTCAAGTCGCGAGCCGAACCAATAATATTTTATGACTTGTGCAAGTGGCCTGCCGTAAGTGTGGATGCTGATGCCGGGTCAAGAAACCTTTCCATTTGTACGTTTTCGGGGTGCGTTGCGTACGCGATGCGTTCATGCGTTTCACTTTCAGGGACCCTTTAATAAAACACTGTCTGTGTTGCGTCTGGGAGCGATTTGGACAGATAGTCAGCGTTTGGCACAAATGTCGACGCTTGTATGGAAAGGCGCCTTTATTTGTTCATTCGATCAGTAAATTTAATACGGTGATAACTTTTCTCATTACATTTTGCAACTAAGTCCAATTTTGTTTGCCCAGATTGCTGACAATTTTGGCGCGGAAATATCAGCGTAGATTCTCCTGAGCCGGTCTTAAACATTCGTCTAAGACCAAGCAAGCACACATTTTGTGCCCGTTAATAATATCTTTTGAGTCAGAAAGTCAAAAAAATTCAAACGATTTCGTTCAACAATTTTACTGCATTTGTTAAAACACCCCTCCGGCTATGTTATGGGTTGCGTCTCTCGCGAGTAGTAAACAATCTCCTTAGCTGTAGATTGACGCGCGCATGATACATACTCTTTGGGGCGCAGAATACGATGAGCCGTTTCTGTGGAATCGACCGATCCATGCGGCTCAGTCCAACATGCGTGCTCAAAAGCAAAGATTGTATAGCGCCGCTGCGCGGCGCAAGATGGGCAACTCTCCACTGAATCGCGTTATCGCCATGGGCGCCATTTTGGTGTGATATTGCCCACAGTATAATGCGCGCGAAGTACAAAAAATGTACAGTACATGCACACTGTACGTTTCTGGGCGGCGCTCCGTGTACGCATGGATCGCGAAGCACAATGTCGTCGACGTGTGCAGCCATCAACCATTTTTTTCTCCTCCAGGTCTATGCATCAACAGCAAAAGCAGGTTCAAAAAAAGCTCGGAACTATCATTCTTATATTTTCCCAAGAACAAAGAAAGGCGAGTAGTAGAGTATAGGCATACAATAGCGCAAAAATCAACACATAGCTTAAGCTAGATTGAGCCCCTAAATTAATGACGTTCATATTTGTAATGAGCCTCTTACCT